TTAAAATGTAAGTTCAGCGAATTCAGTCAGTTCTCAGTTCGTAATAAAATCCATCTCCTAGATGTAATTTTTGATATTCATGTTATAATAAACGACGTGTAAATATAAATGTAAATGAAGAAGTAAATAGGAAGAAGTATTTTGTCGTTCATAAATATTTTACTATTCTTTTCGGAACATCAGTTTGATGAAGTGATTCCATTTATTCTTGAAAATCTCTATTCAAATTTATTTCTGAGATCGCGTTGGTTTTTTTTACAGAACAGTTGTAAAAACCATATCAGTTAGCAGTATTGGCTTGTTGTATGAACTGTAAAAACCCGCAAGTGCTTAGAAAGATTTGAACATATGTGAGAACTGGCAAACATGTGCAAAATCCAGCGACGATTACATTTTTACCTGTATAAGTTCGCAACGTCCCAACTAAAAATACAGTATGCTGAAGACATACATACGCATAAAAATTGAAAATGATTCATCTGTACAATAGGAAATATTTAAACTATATCAATTTTAGGAATATAATTTTTATATACGCCTAATATTCAAAGTGTATTTTTCTAAAAAAAAAAAAAGTTCTTGTGACTTTTAATAAAATTTGTTATAATACTAATGTATATTTTATGACCTTTGCATAATCACTATATAATTATAAATTGTGTCTACCAAAGCGAATCTTTGATGGTCGATGGAAGTATTTTAATGTATTGTTTTTCCAAGATAAACATAATGCAACGCATATAAAAAGCGGATTTTCATTCGTTTTTAAAACTAGATATAAGGTCTCGCGTAAATTTGTAAAAAATTATATATGTGATTGGGTCAGATGGGAACTTGAGCGAAAGCAAGCATTCGATGGCAGATGACTCATTTAGTTAAGGTAATACGTTATGAGTCGAACACTGCGATTATTTGTTTCCGATTGTTTTGTACAAAAATGATTCTTGTTTTTGTTGTTAATTCGTCTCAAAATCAGCCTTAATTAGAGTCTTCTCGTTATATACAGTTTCAAGCATACTTCCCAAAAGCATGATCTCCTTTTCGGCAAGGCTGATGTCGGATCTTATGACTCTCTTGGGTCGGTCTCCTTCGATATAAAGCTCGGAAACGGTTACTGAGTGGACGCGCTTGATTTGTAAATCACTGCAACACTGCAAATAGATATCCAATCTTGGTCCAGCCATCGATTCGGAGCTTGTAATGGCAAACTGAAAAGTTGTTCCGGCAACATCAACCTCGTTCGTCACAATCGTACCGGGGTTGTCAATCAACTGCTGGAACGCTAAGGGAAATGAGAATGTGTTTCGACTGATACTTTGGTACCCTAGCAACAACGAAGCAGCTTTCGACATATTAAGTAAGCAAGACCCATAGGCCGACCCTCTTCGGTACTCGGCGGAGACACCCAGGTTGCTCTCTTCGATAATCCCGCTATACTCGGAATAGCTAAGGTGCGCTGTCAGATTCACTTGTATGGGCATATTGTCGCACTTGCCTAGATGTTTTCGGAGCTCACCTAGTCGCGTGATAGTATTACACTGAGGACAATGGCATCGCAGATTCGCTATGAACCGCTCATTCACACTGGTTTCCATTACAAAGGTGTCACTCAGGCAGCGAACACAGCGCGCTTTGCGATCATCCTGATCTTCGTCAGTGGCATGTAGCAGGTAGATGCAATCAGTACAGTATGTATGGTTGCACTCACAGTAGAACGCGTCCTTTGACGTGAAACCGCACGCGGCACAAGTGGCAAAATCAACTCTTGTTGGTTTTTCAAGCGTCACGTCAACGCAGCCAAGATTGAGAGCCGTATTCGTAAAGCCCTTCAGCTTCATCGCTACCAAGCAATGTACACTTTTCACAATGGTCAATTGGTTAGCAATAGTCGACTCCGCCAGTACTATGTATCGTGCGCCAGCAGCGGGACTCAACAACAGAAACACACATATCAGCGACGGTATGATGCAGGAGTCTATTGTTCATAATGAAAATGATGATGCAGAGTATGAAGCAGACACTGGCATCACGCTACACAGATTCTATCCGTCCTACAGCTAGATGTCAACTGATCTTGATGTGGCACCTACTCAGAAGGTTTGAAAAAAAAAATACGGTCTTTGAATATTTGTCTTACGAGCAGTTTTGCTGTTGAAAATGTTGGACACTACGTAATGTGGTAAAAGCACTAGATTCCTGTAACGATAACAGCTGGTGCTAAATCGGTGTATTGTGGTACTATTCCGCTAACAGCGAGTTCGCGGCCTAATTGCGCATTGAAACAGTTATGGGACAGTCACGGCCAGAAACAAGTTGTAACCTCTTGGTGGTAATTGTTTGCCAGCTACATTGTCGGAACCAGCGACTCGAAAATTTTCGGAAATTGCAAAGGCTCTATAATTTGACGTTTCAGCCAAAATTAATAGTTAAAGTAGGTTCGACAGATGATAGACGTACTTGCCTTGTGTACTCCGGTTTACTGGAAGTGATTATTGGGATGCTACAAAGCGTAACGACGCTTGAAGGACGAATCAGCTTAACCTAAAATGCTTCTGAGCGCTGCTTAGTCCGTATAATAAAAATTCTGTTTGGAAAAACCTGCAATTCAATTAGACTAGAAATTGAGCCCCAATGTGTAATTAAGACAATGGATATTTCACCTATACATTTGTACGCTGTCCATTTTTTTTTTTGGTTTTTGGCCAAATCTGACATTGTCAGCGTCAATCAGAAACAAAATTGCTACAAGTTTTCACGTTTTGTAGATACAATAGCGTCAAATAAATGCTAGATATTTGAAAATGATCATAAAATATATAGTAGATTATGATCTTTACTTGAAACTCTTCTCATTTTATCTCACTGCCATTGCCATTGCCAACCTATTTAAATAAAGATACCGGAATAATCTTCAAACTTTTGTCCATCTTTTGTCAAATCAGTAAATTTGCTCTTGTGTTCGCGTACTTTTGGGTTGCATTTTGAAATCTGAACTTTTGCCTATGCTGTCAGGTTATTATTTGCCTAAAATCACATCTATAATCATTAATTATTACCTATAATATATTCCTAGAGTTGGACAAGCTTCAGGGCCGCACAGGTCGCATAGTTGAAAGCTCCTTGTTCGAGCTTCGTGAAGCATCACATTCCTTTGTAAAAAAAAATACTTAGGTGAGTATAGATACACAGGTGCTTTTATTGCATATGCTGATTACTGCAAACTATATCTACAACTCAGCAAATTTTGCTTTTAACACCAATTTGTTGATGTCGTTTAGACAAAGAATACTGCCGATGATTATAATCTGCCTCACTTTGTTCTCAATGAATTTTTGCGAGCTTTTCGGCTTCATTCATTCATAACAACATTCACATACTGTGGCCATCTCTTCGGTGCTTAATCACCGCCTGCAACGGCGAGTATTGCCATTGAATTCAAGAACAGGTTTATCTTGAGGCACAGGAGAAGACATAAAGCGTCAGGGTCTTTCTGTTGATCAACTTATAAGTGTTCATTTAACATTACTGCGACATCAAGTGGTTCTTCGTCAATAACAATAATAATAATCATTGTGGTCATAAATGCAATGATCGTCGTATAACTTGATGTCAATGCAATATAGTGCCGTGTAGCTAAAACACATAGCCCGCTTAAATTTGCTTGTATTCTAAAAAGGTGGTTTCTTATGATTGTAAATATAAAATCCTTACCTTGTGATTTTCTATTTAAACATGTGTACTATGTAAACATAATCATTACTTGCCATCCAGAAAAGCAGATGTCCGTGTCCGAATAGGATAATTATTTGAAAGATGGGGTTAAATGTACATAAATCAGGACCTTTTGATTTAGATGAATCAGAGTGAAATTATAATATTCAGCACTTTTTTAAGGTTATGAATTATTAATTGTCAGTTGGGGAGCCTTGAAATTAATATTGTAATAATATGATTTTACCTGGTTTTTATTTATCCCAGGTTCTTGTCTTTCCACGTGGGTTGAAGATTTCTCGATGATTTTTCACTATATTGACAACTTGATACTTTCAATTTAATTTATTAAATGATGGATAAAATCCTCCTTTATCGCATGGCTAATTTAGTCGCATTTGTAATTAATGTTAAGCTATCCGTTTTCAGACTAGTTCTTCATTCTGAAAGTTCGAAATACAGAGAGACGTTCCTCGAGACTGCATCTGATTAAACCATTTACTTTGTAGGGCAAGGGGTCAAAAAGGTCTTTCAACGGGAATCGATCAAATGAATTACTATGTAGATAAGGCAAAAAAGATTGTTGCGCTTCTGTTCTCTTATAAGTTATATTAAGCACTTCAAAAGTTGTCGTCGGTATTTCGCAGTGCCCGCGCTATTTATTGTTCACTTCTGATGGCTTATCATTTCCATACGAACCGTCCAATGTACGGGACAAACGAAGGTACCCTAATCAAGGACCGATGCTATTGTTCTGTAGGTCTACGGGTCAAAGATTACAGGTAAACAACTACGTGTAAGCTTATATAAAAAACTAACTACAAACTGCACTGAAAGGCATCGACGATAATATGTGGTCTGGCCTACAGCTGAGCTTCGTGAGACATATGAGAGCACCCACCTTAAAATATTGTACTTAAAATACTTGATACTGGCACCCAGTTATGGTAGATTCTCTGAATATTTACGGAAGTATCCGTGCTTGTAAAATTCTATATTGTTTGCATATTATCATATATTGTATATTAGCATAAATAGGTTAGATTAGTACACTTAATATAAATGAATTGGCCAGTTAGAATTTCTGTTCGCGCTACTCAATAGTCAGCTATCGTCTGCTCTTAAAATCGAGCATACTTCATGCTGTTCGTATTCAACAGTATGAAATAATTCAAAACCCTATGATAAGCGCAACATTTTTTTCGTTTTAGACTTGTATTCGGTAGTTTTCGAAATCCGACACATTCATACCTGTGCATTCAAGAAGAATTGCTTGGCGGAACTTCGAAACATAGTTCGAACCGTTTACACAGCTAACATTAAGTGTTTCAGTATGGGAAACAACAAGAACTCCTATCACCACTGATGGCAACGTTAGGATAGAACTAAAAAAATCTTTATTTTGCAAATGAAGCTGGCGCTTTTACAAGCTAGAAGAACAGTAGTGTGTTCTATTTCATTTTGCCGCGGAATGTCTCAGAGTATGACCGATTACCGAAGAAAATGCCAAAGAAAACCAAAAATACGCGCCATGGGAATATAGATTCGATTGCATGTATTCTCTTATCGAATTTATGTTCATTCGACAAATTCGAATTTAGCAAGATATTTTGTTGAGGAAAAAGTTCACTTTTTCTTGCTTTGTTTCGCGCCCGACATTTTCCGCCTAAACAAAGCTGTCTCGGTCACCATATTGTTTATTCACATCGGTGTACATCAGCCCGTAAGAGCCGTCAGGATGGAGTTATATTTAATCGAACAGATCTGACGTGGCTGCAAGCAATCGTGGTTGACTTTTGTGAATTTTTTGAATTACCCCGATGGCCCCTCCACGTTCTCGCAGTCAAAGATGAACACCACCTGTGAGAACTAAGTAACCGAGCCCATGTACGATTTTTTCAATGCGCACAAGTTACCGAACGAGACCACTGTCATACCGACCAACAGCGTACTTTCAGTCAAATCGAATCATCGATGTAAGCAACTAAACAAGGAAAAACGTCGAATCAAATGATGCTTGTCGTAGTGCATTTGCGATTACTCCGAATGCTTCTGCTATCTCCGCTGCTAACCTCAGAAGGGGTGTACCTTTGGTAACAAGTCGACGAAATATTGCTTACTTTGGTCACAGCTGATTAGCAAGAGGCTGCTTGATGGGGGAATGTTTTCCCAATATTTATTGTATTCACAGCGGCAACAATAACCTCATCAGACTGATGAGCAGGCAACAAAACGTTGTTTCCAGGAAAATCAAAATCAAGGAAAAGTAATAATCAGCGGTAAAGTAACACGCCTTAAAAAAAAACACTAATTAATATAACGCAAAGAACTGTACCTAAGCCGACTGTCCAAGCGCCGATCAAACGATTATAGCCAAATTAGAACTTGTTTGTCTACGCATGTGTAGGGTAACTTAAGGTAGCTTACGACAGTTCGCCTACGACTTTTATAGCAAAAGGCTACAATGGGCAAGATACAAACGTAAAAATGAGTTTCCTAAATCTCTTTTTGTTATAGGTGTCGTCAGCTTCGTAGCTCTCGCCAACATTAAGTCAGCTTCATTCAGGCATTGGTGAGTTGATACCTGGTTGGAGTATACGATCCAGAAGCCTCATTAAAAGCAAGCATCGGCCATTTGCCGATCCCGAAAGCCGGAGTTTAATAAACTCCAAACCACGAACTAACACACTGTATTACTCAGCTAAAAGCATTTCTTCGGAAGAAATATCAATAACATAAACCTAACATCTGTGTAGTTAGAAGCAATCGAGGTGGGTTTTACCAGTTGTGAGTGACTAGCATCGTTCTATGCAGTTGAAAACCGTGTGCGAGTGACGCCTTGCAACAGCGGATACCGATTTGCCCTGATCCTTATCGTTGCTGTCGTGTATTACTGACAAACTGTGCGAGTATTTTGTTCGATAGCTTTGTAAAACGCAGTCTCTACTCATAGCGGTCAAATGGTGCCGAGTGCTGGACGAAGAGGTTGGTACCGTTTCTACTGTTGAATTTTGATCAGTCGATAGCAGCTGCAGGCAATTAGTGATTATTGCCGCCACCGCTCCAGCTGTTCAGCCGCTACGTCTAGTTTGTGCGTGGTGACTAACACCAACAACAAGAATAATAATAACGACAACTGCGTCAGCAACCGATGTAAATTTACAGCAAGCACGACGTCGATTCTGACGACACTAGCGTCTCTAGCGGTGTGTTTATAAAAACGAAATATGTTCAAGAAGCTACTAAACAAACTGGGCGAGGATGTCCGTCAGAGTAATCTGAACGCCGGGAGCCTTGGACAATTCATCGGACAGGTAGGCGTCGCGTACTCGATTGTAAGACCATGTATAGACAAAAATAAATATATGGATCTTTATTTTGGTCACTTTTTACATATGTGCTGATTACGTTGTAGCTCGTTAATGCACAATGAATGTAAAAACGAAAAATATAATTAGTCTTATGTCTAATACACACTTATGATTTAATACACAGTACGAATAAGCTAATTTCACTACCAAACACGAGTAACTACTAAGCACATGCGATAGATAGTTTGTGCTAGCAGAACTCAATATATTTTTCTCAAGCTGTATAAATCAACATTGTAACACCCCATCATATATTCTAGTTGCCGTTCAAGCTTGCGTCTAACAAGTCATTCCAAAAACGCTGGCATCAAAGTAATGGTATATATTCCCCCATACATATTTTTTTTTACAGTATTTATTAGCAGTTGGTTTAGTTTATAGACCCTAAGACGTAATCCTGCGACTGGTGCTGCTCTTGATCGCCACTGATTGTTACAACTGTAATCTTGACAGTCAATGCAGTGATTCTGCTCTAAATTCTACGGCATATTGTTGTCTTTAATACTGCTACTATTTAGCGAAAAAAAAAAATAATAGCAAATCTAGACAAGATTGTGGGTGTATGTCGCGAAGCACGATACGGGGTGAACGACAATTCCGACACGACAGGGTATATGCACGACGCTTGGTATAAGAAATCATTCGGGAATGTTGTTTTGATCGAATAATCATTGACTACTATTAATATTCTTTGCTGGATTGTATATGAGAATTGTGTGGGACCAACAATGGCCGATATCGGTCAGCTGCTGACATCACTTGTTCCTACATGCACAGCTTTGTTACGGTCAGGTAGAATGCTATATAAGTGTTGTTGTTGTTACTTGGCGAGTACGAATCAAGTCTAACGTACGTGAAATATGTGCTTGACGAACGTACAAAAGACAAACATACAACTTAGCAATAGGTGGTGGTTACCGAAAAGCTTTTTCTAACATTTATTTGAACGTATTCGTGTACCACAAGGTTGATTGACGTATCGATCCTTGTTCTTTCTGCCCGTACCATATAATCGGGCCGAGTTTGAAAAAGTAGTTTAGCTTATTTCATCGAGCTGTGCCTAATTTGTTGATTGTTAACTTTATTTCAGTTCTGCTCTATTCTATAACGATTTCGAGCGATACATACTGATTATTGCTGCCATTATATACATACAGAAATGTTTGTCTAAAATTTGTTATTAACACAGAAGTGATCTATTCGTGTTACGTCCGCCTAATTACTTAAGCCTAGGGCTGTGGACTTTATTCCTGTGCAAAAAATTTAGTGCAGATTTCCATTAGAGAGCTAAGTTTTTGTCTAACTGGGGTTTGGATAATACATCTGATAATAACTATGAACTGCCATCATACACAGTCCGGATCGTCATTAACGCTTAACACGCGCTTTATGGCATATTCATTATGAGGCCTGCATTTTCTTGCACGATTGCGCTGGCATCAGCTAATCGCGAGCTACATGTATATAGAACGAATAAAAAAAAACCTAAATCAACTGATTCATATATGTCTGATCTCAGTAAAGGTCTGTCTTGCTTTAGTTTGTTAATAAATCTGCTAGAATTAGTTCAATTTAAAATTACCGCGTATTACCAGACATCTCTGTTAGCCGTCTCGTGGTCTCCAGAAACACCATTGTTTTTTTGTTTAGCACCATCTTTTTTTGTTGTGTCTAGTGGTCGGAGCAATACGAGGCGGTGGATTTTAATGGTTCGACATAATGTTTTGTTGATTTGCAGACTTCTAGTCGAGCCGAGATGTTGAAACTCACGCCTTGAACTTATTGCTCTATTAGCTATTTAGAAAAAAATGATAGAGCGCTCTCTGATCATCAGCGAAGTAGCACAGACGATAGCAAACTTAACCTTAGTAGAAATACAAAACCGGTGTTTTTTCATTCAGAATATTGCCTATGAAGATCAGGGGTCAAATACTAGTATGTCTCTTTCTTACACGTGTCCCGCTATTGCGCATACGACGCTACCTACATTAATAACCTGTTATTATTTCCAATATAACCTAAACTGACTTAAAAGAAGTTTTATTTATAGAAGAAGAAAACTCTATAATGACCACCTGGGCTTCACGATTCGCTCAGCTTTTGCGCCAGTAATGCAGAAGTCCTACCTACTAAAACTGAAACTTTTTTGCGGAAGAACGGCGGAACTAAAGTTGTTTACAATTGTTGAACATCGTTGCCTTAGGGCAGAAGTTTTTCAGTTTGAATCTGACTGGAAGTTCTGTGCAGCGGTTTTACTATCCGTTGGCACTTTTTTCGCGATATATTTGACAAATGAGTCAATCAGTGGATTTTGTATGATCTCATTGTATTCGTAGTATAACTTATAATTGCTTAGTGAATTGGAGCTATGGGTTTCTGCTACGCGTTGTGTTGGGATCGCTGAAAATCCCGGAAGCCGTGTTACACTCTCCTTATAACTTCTGTTGGAAATCTAAAAGGGAAAGATCTTCAACTTGATTCTCGTCTCCGTAATGGGCAATTACACGGAGAGATTTGGATCGAAGTTTTAGTCGTTTTTGTAAAAAAAATGTCATTTATTGGCGATCCTCTAGTTGGGTTAGCAAACTTGCGGAAACGCCATCGTAAATGATCTTAGTCGAGGATAAATTGGCGATTTTGAAATGAGCACGATTATGTTAAACGTTCATTTTCGAGGTTAATTAGTTTCTATTATACAATCTGATTTTATTAAGTGTCGATGCAGCTAGTAGTCACACTATCACAACGTCTATGTATTGACGAACGTATTGCTAGATTTTTGTCAAATTTTTAATACTTACTACCTATCTTTCTAGTATGCCAATATTGACACTGCGGAAGACACTGCACTTCCTCGCAACATACAAAAAGGCTCTTCAATCAACGTTATAAGGTACGAGTGCGATCCCTCCGTGCTAAGAAATGTCTTATGCGACAGAACCTTGAAACCGAGTTTACCTCAGTGTGTAATTGATAGTCCCTACATCTTAATAATTAAGGTGTGCGTACGTTAACACCTCAACGACACGACAGTTGACATTTAAAGCTAAAACGTTACTTGAAACTAACTGAAAAGGATAACGAGGACATATACCTCACGAAGCTACGACAGATCGTTACACTGGCCCAAGGCCCTCTAGTTGTAGATATTATGAGGACTTTAGGAATGCACTACGTAATACCAATGTTTAAGTAGAGTTACAGACAGTAATGAACTAGTGTAACCTTCATGAAAATTACCCATGCCCAAACTGGATAATTTGACTCCCTGGATAATATATAGTACTATCTGATATTATTATGAATAGACGACGAATCTTCTTATTCACAGCAAAATTACTCAGCAGGCTCAGAGACGATGGACCATGAAAAGCAGCCTAGTCTCGTTCTTTCAAACGGATAAGTGTGAAATTATCGAATTTGTAAGTCCATCTATTTTCTGAAGGACGCCAGCCGTTAATGATACTGCCTGCGATTTACTATTTAGCTACGAGTTCGAACTAATTTTAGTAACAATATGCCCGAGATAGTGGCCTTGCTTGTTGGAGTACCATGAGGTAGGGCATTGAGGCTACCGCAATTATGGTTATTATTCGATGACAGTGCCCATCCTAAAATTGACTTGAGATTCCGGCGATTCGCCCGCTTTTATCGATGGATCGATTAATAAAGTTGACCTTCTGGTACTTGAGAGAGTGCTTAACGCCAATTATAGATCGATAATAACGGCCTTCAAATGACTGACGTCTATTCGTTACAAAGAAATGACAAAGTTCGCTTTGGCATTACCGATTTCCGGATACTATACGCATAATCGAGCCCGAAACAGAAACGAGTGCCGTATACGAAGAACACCATAAGGAATTTGCGGTGCAAAATGTTACTGCAACATGCGTCAATGGAAAACAGTGGAGTCTATTGTAAACGTGTGTGTGTGTGTCGAAACAGCTTGCTTAGCACACACCTGTGTTAACCAAGTCGTTTAGCCTCGATTTTCGTTTGCCCTTTGGCCATCTCTTCCGTGACGCTCTCTATTTGCGCGGACGCGCGCTTGCACATCTGTTTTCGCTTTGTGTAGAAGAGATTTGTCGTTCTTCAAACCAACGTTATGAACTGGTTCTATCGTTGGTCTCTAGAGCCGTTGTTGATCGCAGGCAAGTAAATCGTCGATCGTAGTTCATGTTCCCGCCCGTCGTTGTTGTCTTACATCTCGGTCTGTAATCCTATGGGATATACGGATGCGCCGTTTTTCTACCATGGTGCGTATCTGCCAGTGCCAATCGTGGTTACGAAACAGATGCTGCAGATGCTGGCGTAGCCGTCAGGGTTACGTATTTTGAATTACAGTGAATGCTAGAAAACACCGTGGTAGTGGAAAGTACTTTCTGCTTATGTAGGGCTGTATGTATGTATGTGTGTGTGCGTGCGAAACACGAGATCTGTGGAAACAGTGGAACGACGGATCACGACTTGATATATATAGCCGTGTGCAGCCATCTCTGGCCCATGTACACTTGTAATGTCGTTTCTATTGACGATGCTTTCATCATTTTAACTGTAGCTGGATTATTCCTGCTGTTGTCATGGTCATAGATTGTAATTTCGGTCCGAATACTGGTAAACGGTTTCTGGTGATACGAAAATGTACAAGATCGTTGAGAAGGATGGTTGTAGGCAAAAAGGAAATATGTGTGAGTTGTATATTATTATTGGTTTACTGCGCCTGCCTAAATGTTCTCGATGTTTTTCTCCACTAGTAGCCCTATCCTTCAAAGCGATTATCGCCCCTTGTTATCAAGAAGGTACACTTGCTACTTGCAGCTGGGTATACCTGTTGTATCTTCCAATTCTTTATTGTACTAGTTACCTCTCAACCGAACATTGTGCCCCTTTGTCCTGACTGAGTGATGCTAGCCACCAGCCTTCCTTCTGCGACTACTTAT